GGGGGGGGGGGGGGGGGGGGGGGGGGGGGGGGAGGAGGGAGGAGGAGGAGACACACCATGTTTGCGCGCCTTTAACTGAGCGGTTGAAATTCCAATGTGCTCCACATTGGCTATCACTGACTTTTAGACCAGTCTTCAGAAAAATTAGAAGGTTTATTTTTGTGCTTTCTGTGCCGATTTCTGCAGGATGCGCATAAAAATAAAACTTCCTATACTTATTGAATTTTTCTACATTTTATTACCATTCTCTTTTGTTAGAGGCCCTGATCGCCGCCACAGGAGAGACTGTGGCCAAACACATTCTAAAAAAACATAAAAGAGGAAAAGCATAAATAGACGCAGAGAGAAAAGTTAGGGGTACAAAACTGTCGTGATTGCTGTACATCTGCACATTTGCTGAACCATACTTGTAGGTGGATCTTTGCCCTGGGCTAATGCATTGGCATTTCAGGGGTCTTCTACATCTCCAGAATCGGAATATGGTGTAACAGAAATTATCCGTCGCTATGATATAATTATCCTCGATGATTCGCAGCAAACAGAACAGACACTCAAAAACATTTGGTTACTAACATAACTTGTTTGCTCTTAATGACTCTAAGTCATCAACATGACCTCTTACCTTGTTGTAGCCATAAAAAAGTTCGTATCCTAGTTTGTTCATAGTTTCCATAGTTCGAGGTAAATGACGCATAAACATTGTCCTCGAGGTTGACTCCAGACAGAGAATATCGATAGAGTAACGCAAATCGGACTTTTTCTTTGGTTCTGCATAACGTCTTATGCCAAAATCATCGAATGACATCAAGTCTCTAGCAGTGTATATCTTGAACATGCTAAAGTTTGGAGCGGCTAGCGCTTACATCAATACCTGGTTAGGCTGCTTATCTAAGTCTCTTATACCAGGATAAGCCTGCTCATATATTTTTGTGCCGTTGCTGAAGCAGCGGATGTAAAAGGCATCTCCATTGGCCAAAAATCGCTCATTTACAGGTGCCTGTAAAGAAGGACATGTGTACTAGTTCGCTTTTGATGGATTTTTCTTTGAATCGAAACAAAAATCTGACCTCTACTTCGGCAACCTCATTCAAATAATTTATCCCACTCTTTGTCCTTTTGTTTCTTAGCCCTCCTTCCAGGAAAATAACCTAAAAATATTTTGCTCGTCATAGAAAATCCGCACGAAAGGAATGAAACTTAAACGAATAACCTACCTTGCATTTTACATCTACGAGGTATTTTGGATAGTTGCCGTAATGCGGATGAACGTACATGTATCCCTCGCTGTCCATAGTCGCGAGATCAACATCTTCATATGGGCACTGCAGCTGCCGCAGGCGTTCTGCTTTGGTATGCTGTGATTATCGTAAAGTGTCAATCTTATTAATCTCGTTTTTTATTTGTCTTCAGTTTGTGCGCAGAAGATTGATTATATAGCGCGAATTCTCTTTGAGGGAGCCACAGTTCCACTAGATCCGAAACTAGTGAGATTTTGGCGCATTACAACAACGCCGGCCACTTTCTGAACGTTAGGCCTAAGGCATACCTAGCGCGATTCCAGTCGCGGCGCGATTTCCATGTCGGACATA